TCTGTGTGGTGAAGTTAAAAGACAATTTTCAGGTTCTTTTCTCTCACTGTGGGTTCTGTTTATTAAACTTAGGTCACCAGGCTTACTCAGCAAACTCTTTCACACATAAAATGATCTTGCCTCCCCCTACTATAATTTTAATATATTCCTCCCCCAACCCCATGTCAAGACATCACCTATACTCTGGTTCACTTCCTGCCATATGCGAAACCACAAGCTAGAAGATGTAACAACAGTACCACTGTGTTTGATAGAGTTTGCTTAGAAGTATTAGTATAAAGCTTTAAATCTTAGCTAAGAACTAAAGGACAATCGTTTCCCCGTAAGTCCAGGGAAATTGGAAAGGGCAGAGAGAAAAAAGATTTAGGAGCCAGAACCAGGTCTCAGAGCTTTTTGACTCAGGGTCAATTAATCAGCAACTATTTAGTATTCATCTATGCTGTGGTAAGGGCTGAAGACACCTAAGGTGTGGCCCTTGACTCCAAAGAGTTTACCATCTACTGGGAAATCAGCTGGGTAGACAGAATAGAATCAGATAATAATGGGCGTGCACAAGAGCCCACGTTTGGTAAAGCAATAAACTAAAGATGCTTCCACAGGTCTTCACAGAAAGGTGGGATATGATAAAATCAATGTTGAGTAACATGTCTTCTCTGCTTCAGCCCATCTTATAACCGCCACTCAGGCTCAGGCTTGCCTGACCTTGGCTGTTGCCATCTCCCCAGCCTATCCTCTCGCAGGCCATCTTGAACACAGCACTGAGAATGATGTTCCAAAGGCATACAAGGGACACTGTCTGTTTGCAAAGGAGCAATGACTCTCCTGTGATCCCAGAAGAGTCTTCTTAGTTTTTAGTGCAAAATGTAAGGTCCTCCCATAGACCATGCTACTATCCTTCCAGGCCTGCCTCTCTTTCCCTCGTAGGTGTCGTGTGCTTTGTAGAAGTGGAACCAACCACTCACCGTTCTCCAAACCCACTTTCATATTCCCTCCCATGATTCCAACCCCCCCCCCCCCACCCTGGGTCCTTTTCCATCCCGCAGTAAGCAGAATCAGAGAAGGCAGCGGCAGGGAAGTGGTGCTGGCTGACAGGGGAGGCAGGAGGAACTAGGGAACGGCAGAGTGGGACACTAGCTGGTCATGGTGGGTCAGAGAGTGCTTTTAGGCAGCAAATGGAATTCCCTCTCAACTCGTCTTACTCCATATCCTTGTGGTCCATGCTTATTTCACACTGTGTAACCTGGGACATTACAGAATTGCTGACAATTTTTCTATTCTCCACATCATTAATATATGTTTACACTGATTTTTGAATGTGGAGTGGGGAGGTGGCAGGGATATGTCCCTGTGTGGGAGGGTGTGTGTGTGTATGTGTGTGTGTGTGTGTGTGTGTGTGTGTGTGTGTGTGTGTGTGTGTATGGAGGCCAGAAGTCATTCATGGGCATCGTTTTCAAGGAGCTGTATACCTTGTTTTCTGAGACACAGTCACTGGAACCAAAGGCTTGCTGGCTGGTCAGCCAGCCCCAGGGATCCATCGGTCTCTGCCACCCCAGTGCTGAGATTTATAAGTGCATGCCTCCTAGCCTGGATTTTTTTTTTAACATGGGTGCTGGGTATCAAAAACCCAGGTTCTCATGTTTGAGCACAAGCACTCGACCAACTGATTGATCTCCCAGACCAGACACTTAGTGCTTTTGAAAGGTTTTATTTGTGTGTATGTGTGTCTCTGTGTGTGTGTCTGTATGTGTATTTCTGTGTGAGTATATGCTCCATGTAATTGAGTTTCCAAGAAGGCCAGAAGAGGGTGTCAGATCTCTGGGAGCTGAAACTACAGGTAGTTGTGAGCCACCCTGCACCAGTGCTGGGAACTGAAAATTCCTCTGGAAGAGCAACAAGTGCTTTTTAACTGCTGGGCCGTCTCTCCAGCCATCTTATTTTTATTGTTATTTGAGATTGGGCTTCACTGCATAGCCCAGGTTGTCCTTGAACTCATAATCCTTTTGCTTCCATCTCTGATTGGTGCTGAGCTTACAGGTGTGTGGCATGTCTAATTATTTGAAATAATGCAGGCCCGCCCAGCAGTGCACTTTACTGTGGGAGGTAGATGTCTTTAAGGAACACCCTAAATTGCTGATGTGAGATTACATGTATTGCTTTCGCAAACCACATACATTTAGGAAGAACTGGTTGGTGTGGTTGCCCACACTTGTAATCCCAGCATCTGGGAAGCTGAGGCAGGAGGACTGCAAATTCAAGGCTAGCCTAGGCTATATAGCAAGTTTGAGGCTGAATTATATAGCAAGACTCTGTCTCAAGTAATAATATATTTATGCCCCATATTTCATGAACAGTGTTGCTTAAGGGTTAGACTCTTTGAACTAGAGAGAGGAACCTGCTTGGTTTCCACGACCGTTGGGGTGGCACTGGAATGTGCTCATGTTTTCTGTATCTCCCTTCTCTGATTTGGTTGCCATCTACTTTCCGATTCTCTGCTGCAGGTTCATCTTTATCTCTTCATCCACATGTCTCCTCCACCAACTCAAAGTTGAGGCTGAATCACTTAGACTCCGGTTCAAATGACTGGAGGAAAACCAGATTGCTTTGGTCACCAATCATCACTTCCTTCTCCAGAAGAAAAATCAAGAATGACTTCAGTGAGAGTGGACCCAGCATGGCCTCCTGGCAAGTAGCCCAGCAGATCTGGTCTGCTTAACTATGTGAATGCATTCCACATCAGCCCTTTTTCTCTGCACCCTCACTCCCTCTACCCTAGTCCAAGGTACCATCTCAAGCTGTCAAAACTTGGGCCATGGGTGCAGGTTGATGGTAGAGCACTTTCCTAGCTCTGAATTCAATCCTCTGCACCACAAAAACAAAGTTCTGTACATTTCACAGTAGCTTCTCTGTCTCTGAACTACTGAATCCCCCATCAGTATCCAGAATCACTCAGATGAACTAGAACTCAGGTCATATCCCGACCTAAAACAGTCCACTTATTTTTGCTTGTTTTTAAAGACAGGGTCTTGGGGCTAGAGAGATGGCTCAATGGTTAAAAGCACTTAATGCTTTTGCAGAGGACCCCAGCTGAGTTCCCGATACCCACGTAGGGTGCTCACCACCACCTGCAACTTTAGCCCCAGGGCATCTGATGCCTTCTTTTGGCCTCCAAAGGCACTCATGTTCATGTGTACATGTACACACACACACACACACACACACACACACACACACACACACACACAAAATACAAATTAAAATTAAATCTCCTAGTTTAAGGCCAGCCTGGACTACAGAGAGTTCCAGGACTACAGAGAAGAACCCTGTTTCTAAAACAAAAACAAAAACAAAAACTGATCATAGTAATAGTATGCAAAGTGAAAGAGCAAGCTGGCCTATTAAAGTATGAGAATCAGTAAAATTCAATTTCCACTTATTTAAATGAAAATAGCAGAAAGATTCTTCTCTATAGTTTGTCTTTATTAGTAAAGAAACTTACATAATCATTTAGGAATTTTGCATATTCAGTCCTCAGTCAGCAGATCTCTGCTGTATAGGTGTGAAGTACTCCAGGGGAAGGGGTGCTGTCTTGGGGAAGGGCTGATAGTGAAGTTGGCCCTCACTCATTCACCTCTTCTATCTTGGGACTTGGTCATTTGCCCATGCTTGGTTAAAGGTATTCTAAGCAGCAGGTAGCTCTCCGTAGGCAGGAAAGGAAAGGAGACCGGCAGTTAAATTACAAACCAGCCTCCTAAACACTGAGGCCAAAGAGCAGCAAGACTCCTGCAAAGGTCAGAGACCAGCCACACCTGCTAAGGTTGGCATCGCCAGCAAGTAAGCCAAGGTCAGCAGCTAACCAATAAATTAAAGGTGGGCAGAGTGGGGCTTCAGTGTGTGACTCCTCCAACCGGGCAAGCAGCGGGTGGACACCCCTTGGGTTGGGCCAGAGGGTCATGTCCAGAGTGTGTGGGTGCTCCACTAGCTTGGCCACAATGTCTACAGAATTAAACTATCTCAATAGAAACGACCTCAGTCTGTCTGGTTTCTGCCATAAGTCCTATGAAAAGGCCCTATGCAGACAGTGCATCCATTTTATCCTCCCTTGGGACCCTCCCACTCAGGAGTTTTCTCAGATTTCCTTAATAATCTGCCTTTGCTTTGTGCTCTTCTCCTCTCCATCCATGACTTTATTCCTCACCGAACTGAGACAAAGAACTCCAAAGTGACTGTCTCAGGTTGGCTTTTGCACCTTAAGCCCATCTGGGCCAACAGAGGCCCTGTCTCTCAAATTTATGTATAATTAACTGATTCTCACAAAATGGAAACATGATTTAAAAGACTTCTACAAAGAACAGGATCAGAGCTCTTACTAAAGTTTAAGCACAATTGAAGAAAAAGGTCATTTTTCAGGCTTCTAGTACAAGCTCCTGTAGCACATTCTGGTGTGCAGCATTTAGTGATGACTTATGTAAGGATGACAAGGACAGTTAAACATGGAACTTTTTCATGCTCTGCAATTACCTGCAGTGTGACTCTCCATTCTTTACTATATATATTTAACCTTGACACTGGCCGATGGGTAAATATCACAATTTATATGAAAGTGAAAATAGTTCACTTAGTGATGGTTGGAGGATATTTTATTTAAAGGCAAAATTATGACTCCCATTAAAATATTACACAACCAAATCATCGCTGTGAGGGCGCTTGGGAGACATCAGAACTGTTTGGAAGAGGAATGAACAGCAGACTAGATGTGTGATCAGGAATGTTGAAATAAACTTGCTACATCGAGCAAAATCAAGTTCTATTTTTTTTTTCCCTTAGGGTAGAAAACACTCCAACATGGATAAGGGAGTAGGTAAAAGTAGTAAAAGTAGGTAAAAGATAGGTAGGTAAAAGATAGGCAGACGAATCCAGAGACAGAGGGATCTCCTAGAGACGAGCTCTGTCAGGCATGGCGTCCTGCTGAGAAAAGGTTGAAGGAAGACCCCAGACTCAAATAGTATGCAAGAACAGAGTGTTTATTACTATACTAGCATACATGGGGTCATTCATCTGTACAAAATGGTGATGACCACAAGAGGCACATCCAGGGTCCTTTAAGCATAGCTAGGGGAATTTCAGAGATGCTTAGGTCATCTCAAACATAATTGGTTAAGCAAGCAGCAGTTACAGTAGTATACTTTTAACTGGCTGAGGTTTTCTCTTTGGACATACTTGGGTAAGTTTCAAGGGGGTTGCAGGAACTGTCCTTGAGACACTGAGAGGCTGACCCAGACCTTGTTTGTGCTCTCTCCCTCGTCCCTGCTGTCAGGGGCCTTTTGATTCATAGCCCTTTGTTTAAAAAATGGAAACTTAGACCCAGCTTGTGAAATGGAAGACGTTTAGACTTCTCGGTCCAGGGCCAGGGAGGTGTCTGCGATGATAGTGAGGCTGGAGTGAAAGGGTATTTCTTGATGCTCTTCCATCATGAGATAATCTGCCATTAAGGTCAGAAGGGGAGAGAGGAGACTCACTTATCAGTTGGTATTGAAACATCAATGTCCACCCTGAAGGCAATGGAGTGGTCTATTATACACACACACACACAAAATCTACACATACATATGTACATCTATCATGGCATATACATATATGTGTATGGAGTTTACACTTCCCAAATGCCATTATTCACAAAGATTACAAGGAAACAAACATAAATATGATTTTACTCTGGAACACTATACATATACATATATACTTATATATATGTATGGATATATATTGGCACATGTGTAGTCACACAATGCTGTGGTTTGTGTGTGTGTGTGTGTGTGTGTGTGTGTGTGTGTGTGTGCATGTTCATTTTCTTCATAGACCACATCACTTTATTACATGACTGTACTCAAGCTGTGTTCTGGGCCATCTCTGTTTGCTGTCTACTGACCCGACCACAATCCAGAGAGAGATGGCCAAACCCACACAGACGGGGATGGCCATGTTCACAGGCTACAGTGTATAAGCAGGCTCAGTCTGGTGCTATGCATTGCCTTCCCCTTTCTCCTTAATGGCATGGACCCTGAATATGGCCCCCCAGGATGCCATGTGTCCCCCAGGGAGCTATGTGGCCCCTCAAGGGTGCCATGTGGCTCCCCCAGTATGCCATGTGCCCCCCCTCCCAGGATGCCACAAGGCCCATGGCAGCACCAACGCTGCCACCTGTCACTCATAGGCAGGCAGACCAAACAGCTCAGGCTGGAAGTCCTCCAGGGAACTCAGCACCACTGTGGCCTTTCTTGTTAAGTCTCGACTCAGGTTTTCATCGGGAACCATGACAACCTGCATCCCAGCTGCCAGAGCTGCCTCCACTCCATTGGGAGCATCTTCAAAGACGAGGCACATGTCTGGGGCAGGAGCAGGACTGAACCTCCGTGCACAGGAGAGGAATATGTCCGGGGATGGCTTCCCACTGTTGACCTCAGGATCATCTCCTAGCACAATGTGGTTGAACATCCCAAAGAACTCCTTGTGCCTGCTGGTCTTCATTTTGAAGGTCACGGAGCCTGAGCTGGTGGCCAGGGCGAAGGGGATGCTGTGCTTTCGGAGGTGCCGGATCAGTTTCTCAGCACCTGGCATGAGGGCAGCTGTGGGGAAAAGGTCTGCCAGCTTTGCCTGGCTCTCCTCCACCAGCTCCTCCTTGGACATGGGCAGCTGCAGGACGTCGATGATGATCTGCGCAGCTTCTGGAGCCTTCTTCCCCATCACCAGGGACTTGACCTCCCAGCTGTATGTCTTCTTGTAGCGACCACACAGCTCCTGAAACACCACCGAGTACAGCCTCTCTGTGTCCAGAAGGAGTCCGTCCATGTCAAAGATGAGGTGAGTGACCTGTCGCGGTGGGGACATCGCCATGGTGCCTCCTTCTCAACCTGGGTGGATGGAGGGGTTCATTTATTTTTAGGTGTATATTTTGTGGTTATTGTATAATGTATTTTATCATGTGATAATAAATTAACAAGTATAACAGTATCCCTATAATGTGACATAATGCTATTTATTATGTTTTTAATGTATAGTCACATAGGTTAATATAGAGAGAATTGTATTTGTGTATGCTCAAAAAATTTATGACACAATCAAAAAACTTGAAAGACAACTGGATTAAAAGATGGCATTTGGAAGACATCTGGCCTTGCTATCATTATCATTAAGTGACTGAAGGCTAACATTATTGTTTCATAATATCTTTTATTGTAACACAGGGTGTATCTGGAAGTGGTTATTATTATTATATTTAGAGCACCCTATTATATTATCTATTATATCTATATGATAGATATAACTATTCTACCTAGAGTGTTGCAGGGGTGGGCAGTCTGGGCAGCAGCACCCAGGAGGGGTGGAATCTGCTTCAGTCATTGCTAACTATAGCCTGCATGTCCGCACCCATGACAGGATAAAAGTACTGTCTGTACAGAGGTTTTTGTAGAGATAAGTGACTTAGTAAACAAAAGGATTTAGGCCATGGCCTCACAGTTAACAAGGGTTAGGTGAGTGTTAACTAGTATTAACTTGGGTTTGGTTGAAATTGACAAAACAAATACAAAACCCAGAAGTAACCTTGCTACTTACTGCCCCTTGCTGGCCAATATTGCTTTGCACACCACATTCTCCATGGGATAGCTAAATAAATAATTGGAATAAACAAGACTTTCAGAGTTTAAGGAAACACTGATGCTTCACTTTAGAATTCTTTTCACAAAAACCAGTGTGGAGAATAATTAACAGCCATGAAATTATGCCATCTGAAAGATGTATAGGAAGAGAAAAGAAATAACCTTTAATAATTGAATTGCTGGATCTGCTGGGACTGGATTGTAATCCCAGTATTCAGGCTGGAGAGTTCAAGGTCAGTCTAGACTGCTGCTGAAAGGTCAGCCTTCAGCAGGTCAGAGACACTGTGAGAAGAGACAGAGCAAGTGAACTACTGGACAGACGCACAGACACATGGGGACTTTCCTGAGGGCCAAAGCTTAGCTGTTCATGTTCTTTTTCTCTTTCCGTTGCTCCTCCTCTGTTCTCTCTCTCCTCTATTCTTCTACCTTGTTGTTTTCCTTCTTTTCCCAGATGTTCTCCTTCTATCTCTTCCTTGATGTTTTCCTTCTATGTATCTTTATTCTTTCCCTTACAGCTTATATACCCCAGCAAAATCTTTGAAGCAATATAAAAATTATATTGGTTTGAATTCTACTTTTCAAATGAATGAATGTGGTTCATTCTATTTTTCAAATGAATGATTATAATGAATGCAAGTAAGAAACAGCATGTTTCTCATTTCACTTACATGATTAAACATTTTACATATTACAGGTGAAAAACACATTATTCCCAAGGGCCCACATACATCCTTGTCTAAGCAACTTGTTATAGATTAACAAAGTGTAGGCAAGCAAGGTTCTCTGCTAGTTCTTTTACTGGCAGGCTACATTTTGCGGTTACAAAGAAAGGATCAATCATTTTATTATTTATCTCAAAAGGTAATCCCATAAAAAACTTAAAAGAATCACAAATCTAAACTTTTATATATAAAAAATAGTCATTTCTACTTTAAGTCCTCAGAGTGCACACCCACTCATCAACAATTTTTTATTAAATCATACCAGGAAGCCAAGGGCAAAAATGGGTATAAGAAATTAATCATCGCCTTTGATCACCAACCCATCTTTAGCAAGAATAGCACGTCAGCTAGTAATGACTGGGCTGCCTTTGTTCTTGTCCCCTGTTCAACTATTAAAAGTGTGCCTTTCCAAACTTTAAATTGTTCCCCAAGATTTTCTACATCAAAGCCAAAAACAAAAACACCATAACCTAACCTTACTAAAAGTCTACATGTCTAAATTCTTTCTAAGGTGGTGGTTGAATCATTAATCTGCTCCAGCTGCAATGCTTGGAAAAAGTCAATCACTATTATTGTAAGTAACAGTGACACTGCCCAGTGAGCGGCTAGAAACCTCCTGAGAGTTTTCATACAACTCATTCATTATGAGGGATGTGGTAACAGAGAGGGCAATGAGCAGAGCTATGCTGGATAACAGCATGAGGTCCTCAGGACATGTAGTCTTCAGGACTCTGCTTCCATGGCTCACCCAGCATGCTTATGCTGACCACTGAGCCATATTCCATGAGTTCCAAAGCTGGTTGTTGTTCATCTCACATGGTCCCCAACACTAGACAATATTGTGAAACTCTCAAACAACAACAACAACAAACAAACAAAACCCAAACCCACATTTTATGTAGTTACAAGCCCATCTTTAAAACAGAGCCTTACATTGCAGTACTCTGAAGCACAGACCTTAAGAATGTAGGGTAATTTAGAGAATGTCAGCTGATACGCAACTCACTCTCTGAGATGACCAAGTAGATTTCCAGTTCTGCCCTGGTGGCTGGGGTGAGAAAACAGCAATCTTCTACTTGCAGGTTATACAACAATGGCATTGTCTGTTGAGGCACACTGATACCAAGTGCTTTCCTAGTATCTTTTCTGTTTTTCCCCCTCTTAAGATGAGTATGTTCAAATATAAAGAAAAGAACAGTATAATGAACGATATATACATATCGTTCCCATTAGCATTTAGCTCTTTGTATTTTTATTTTTTTCTGAATTACTTTAAAATATAGATAACAAATGTGTCAGCCTAAATGTCCGTTTGCATGTAAAAAATAAACTCATTTTCCTGCATAAGCACAAAACCATTATCCATTTAATAACAATTGTCTAGTATCATCTGATGCTGCAATCCAAATTCAAGTGCAGTTGTCCCTGAAATATATTTCTATTTGAGTTACTAAATCAGAATCAAGCAAAGACAAGCCATCACACTTACATCATGTCTCAAGTTTCTCTTAAGCTGGAACAGCCCTCCTTCAGTCTTGTCTCTCTAAAAACATGTTGTATTACATTTATGCATTTATTGATTTTGTATGTAGATGTGGGTGCAAGTGGAGGTCTGAGGAAACCTGTATGCAGGAGTTGAATCTTTCCTACCATGTGGGAACTGGAGCTCTAACTCAAATCTGTAGGCTCAGTAGCAAGTACCTTCACCTGCTGATCCATCTAGCGGGCCCAGCCTTACCTTTCATGTATTTGTCTATTTTTGGTTTTTCGAGACAGGGTTTCTCTGTGTATTTTTGGTGCCTGTCCTGGATCTCACTCTGTAGACCAGGCTGGCCTAGAACTCACAGAGATCCGTCTGGCTCTGCCTCCTGAGTGCTGGGATTAAAGGCATGCGCCATCACTGCCTAGCTTACCTTTTATTTTTAATCACAATAATTTAAGAGATAGGTTCTAGGTGTTCCTGATTGTTTCCATTTTTCTTCCATGTAAATGGTTTCTGAAACATGATGATACAAAAGGCTTATGTTGAAGTTAAAGACCTTTGTAAATTGCAATTCACAGATGCTGGAGTTTTGGGTTGCTTAATATCAGAAGACCATATCAGGCTAGTCTTCTTTACTGGTGACCAGATTGACTTGCCATCAGGTGAGAGAGTTTAGATTTCTCAAGTGGTCCTGGTTCCCCTCCCCCATGACTAGCAATGATCCCTGGGAGAATAGCTGATACCCTATCCCTTTGGCCTTCCCAACAAGCAGTTTCATTAATACTCCAGACAAGGTTTGTTTCATTAGAGACTGAACGATGGATGTTCTACCCCCTTTCCGGCATTTAGCTAGTATACGTTTTACAAAGAACTACTTCTCCATCAGCTAATGCTATTTGGTTTTCCAAAAATATAGTACTAGAAAGACAGAATAAACACTATTTTCTTAAATAAACATTTTTAAAGAGTAAAGGTGATGAAATGTTCACCACTGATAGTGTGGCAATATGGCTTTCTTTTCTGTTTTAATTTGGCTTACTTCCTGAGGGGAATGACGTATTACTAATGCTAACGACCATTTTAGTTTCCAGATGTTTTGATGCTCAAATTGTTCTCATTTTTGTCTAGTGGGGAGTCTTTCAGGAAGGACCTTGCTTGTCTTGGGATTCTCCCTTTCTGAAGTCTGTTCTTCTCAGAGGTACTGTTCATTCCCAGCTTTGACCTGGATTCAATCATCTCTCCAGGAATCGTGGCACCTGTCGGTGTGGAGCTGTATTTAGATTAATATCTAAGGGCCAAAGGCAGTCATTTTTCTAGGCCTTCACTTTGCACGCCTATCTTCATTTCAAGATTAATAACATAGAGGTTTTCTGTGATTCGTTTTTAAAAAGACGAAACAGCGAGCAAAGATGAACAGAGTCAAGTGTCTAATAGATGCCATGTAGGGATCTGAACCTGGGGAAAGGCCCCAGGCATCCAGAGTGGAAACTTCAGGGAGTGAAGGATCCTTAGAAAGCCTGTTGGGTTAGCCGGTAGTCCCCGCTCCAGGGAGACTGAGGCAGGAGGACTGCCGCGGGTTCCAGGGTGGGCCGGGCAGCAGTGTGAGGCCTTGTCTTACCTGCACCGTGCGTGAAGCCTACCGAGCGAACTAACCAGGGTCTGCCAGGCGGGGAGAAGACGGAAGCGTGTAGCCGCTCTCCGGCTGCCGGTCTGGCCATCCAATTAGCGTAGCCTCAGGCAGGGGGCTGGACATCCGAGGTGTGTATCCAATGGGGAGGCGGCTCCAGTGGGAGGGAGGCGGTGCAGACGGGCCAATCACAGTAGTCGGCTCACGCCGGCAAGCCGGCAGCCAATCCGCAGCGCGCTCTCTCCGCAGCTCCGCCCACTGCTCTGTGCTCGCCGGTGGGTGGCGGCGCGCTGCTCCTGCTGCAGTGCTGGTCCCGCTCATCAGTGCTTGGCACCGAAGGCGTGGACGAGCAGATATGGCGAGCTCCGGCTATGAGGACCATGCGGGCCAGGAGGGGGAGACGTTCCTGTATTTCGCCTACGGCAGCAACCTGCTGACCGAGAGGATCCACCTGCGAAACCCCTCCGCCGTGTTCTGCTGCGTGGCGCGCCTGCAGGTCAGTGCCGTTGTGCCCGCTACCGGGATAGCGGGCCAGGTGCGACCCCTGCCGGGAACCTTTGGCTACCATCGGGGTTCGTAAGTCCTCCACTGGCTATCCTTTCCCATCGATTTCGAGCATCCTATAGTACGCCTTCTATGGGTGCCTCTTAGTCGAGGATTAGCTGCTTTCCACCCTCTGCATACCTTGTCACAGGACTTGTTCCACAGATCTGTGAAATTCTGTGTATCTGTCTTTCCCTCCTCATCTGAGTGAGTGGTCCTGGTCTTGAGACCTGGAGTCGTGTCTTCCATAGAGACGGCAGTGTTCCTCCAGGAGAGTATCCCTATCCGATAAACTTTAACTAACTGTGGTGAACTGTTGCTCTTGACCACAGTTCATTTGCTTATTTAATACGTACTCTTCTGGCACACAGTGCTGGGGTTACAAAGATGACTGAGCAGCTTCGCTACTTGGAGGACCTACCAGTGTACAATCCGATTGTGTGTAGTGCCTTTGACAACTTGAGCCAACACACACATAGTCTTTGATAACCTTGTCAGAGTTCTTCTTGGTTTCAGTCAACGGAAACCGGCTGGTTTAAGAAAGGGGATGAGAGGGAGGGTGTTGGAAGGCTGTTCAAGAGCTCATGGGATCACCCGAAAGACTGGAGTACAGAGCTGAGTAAATAGGCAGTTCTGGTGTGTGTAGGGGTGTGTGTGTGTGTGTGTGTGTGTGTGTGTGTGTGTGTGTGTGTGTGTGTGTGTGTACAACCAGCATCGCAGGAGAGAACCAGCCCAGCCCTGGGATGCACCTTTCCTGAACTAGTAAATACGATGTGGAGCTGGCTCCTGCCTTCTGCTGTGCCACAGCGCTGCAGTCTCTGAAGCCCAGAATGGAGTCCCTGATAACCTTGAACACTAGCTCTAACTGAGAGCCTCTCTGGGTGCCCTGATTGGCTAAGTCTCACCATGTATCCATGCCCTTACTATAAGACAATCTGATAACCAACTTCCAGCCTTTGAAGTTTTAAAACTGGGAGTCATACTCTGTACTCTATCTGAAACACGTAAGAGTGTAGGAAGGGAGTTCAAATGCTTAGTCAGAGCAGAAAAGAAATATCGCATAAATAATAAAGTATAGCTGTGGTTGGCCTTAAAAGAGGACATGCAAGGTGCAACAGAATATATGACCAGAGGATCTGACCAAGATGCTCAGGAATGTGTGAGCTCCTGGATGGAACTTTTAAGCTGAGACTTGGAGAGGTGAAGGGCAAAAAAGACTCAAAAAGAATACTTGTTAAAAGGGCCCGAGAAAAGAGGAAGTGGTTGTTCCAGTCGAAGTGGCTGGAGTCTATAAGGCAGATGTGGCACGAGGGTTGGAGAGATTAAAAAAATATTGCTTCTTAATGTGACCACAGAGACCTCTGGACAGTCTTCCGCAGGCCCTGAGGATCAAAGGGAATGATGAGATTTATGTCTTTGAAAGCTCATTCTGGTTACTATTGCAAAATGGAACAAGGGTGGATATTGGAAGCCTTGTTAAGATTTTGCCACGTTCATATCAAAGATAATGCCACCATGATCTAACAGGGTGGTGTCAGAAAAAGGTAGATGGCTCTGAGCAATACAGAGATAACATCATTAAACCTTGATGATTGTGTGTGAAGAGAAGCAATATAAATGTGACTCAAGTTTTTGCACAACTAGGTAGATGATGGTATTAATGTTAACAGAGGAGAATCAGGTTTGGGAGGTAAAAATTGTTAACTTTGAACGTAATCGAGTTTAAGATGCTTCCTAGACAGCCACACAAACAGAAAAATATTAGTGAACATTTGTTAGGCATTACTGTGGGCTGGGCCCTGTTCCAAGTGCTTTTGAGTCTCAGAATAGAGATGTGGGCTGATTTTAAAGGTGGCCAAAGCATTCGATGGCATTAGAAGCTGCTGGAGGTGGTGAGGCTGTCTGTGCTCTTTGCTAAATTCAAAACAGGCCTAAGCTGAACCCCAAGAAACTCTGACATTTCAAGATGGGGAGTAGGGGAAAGTTGCCAAAGAGGTGAGAAGATCAGGTCAAACTCAGGTCAGAAGAAAGGGCTGATCTGGAGAGCTGACTGGTGTCTCCCTCTGACTCCGTCCTCTTCATCCCAGCATCCTCAGTTTGATTGTCCCACCTAACTTTATCCTGCCTCGCTGTAGGCCAGTCAGCTTCTTTATTAACCAATGAGAGTGATACATATTCACTGTGTACAGACGGATTATTCCACAGCAATTGCCTGCTGCATTTAACAATAGGCTGCCAGTCTCTGGTGTGGATTGTATCTTTGGTGAGATCTGTTGATTCTGGAATACCCAGTATGCTGCTTGAAGGTCCTGGTTACTTGGACCAGCATTTTCCCTGAGTTATCAAACAAGATTTTCGAGAAAACATAGGTGACAGGGATAATATAAATCAGAAAGGACTACAGCACTGTCATTTAGTCCATCCTGTGTGCTGTGGAGAGATGGAAGGCAAATACCCTCACTCCCTGACTGCCTATCAATGATAGTAGAAGCTAAATTAGAAAGATGTCTCTAGTGCTTGTTAGTTATAAGACCTTAGGGAAGTGACTTAATCCTTCTACGCTGTAATTTTTCTGTTGTAAATTGAGTAAAACACTGGTTCATGTAAAGTAATAGCTAGTGCATATAGCACATAATAAATATTCAGGAAGTATTAGCTGCTCTTCAGTTATTGGAAATAAATTGATACAGTTCATGAAGATTAATGCTCATATACCCTAAGCCAGCTCGCTTAGAGTAAATACAGTGATTTGCAGGTAAGTTACTCTAGAGACATAAAAGTATATTATAACCCCTATGTAACCATCACCCAGAATGTCTGAGTGAAAATACATGTACATTTAAGTTTACTGAGAAGTCATTTGCAAAAATGAAAGCTAAAGCTGTTATACGGTATATTGGGTTTCCTTAAGGGTTTTTTTTTTCTTTAAATGTTTAGATGCCTATACACTCAGAACTAGCTTTATTTTTAAAGGAAAATAAGAAAGAATCTATATTCCTTGAGATTTGGGTCTTGGTCTGTTTCTCTTTATTTTCCACAACTTTGTACACACAGAAACAAAGGTTATTGAATGTTTTTTTTTTTGGCATGGAAGTCAAGGCAAATCATTTGCATTTCGAGGAGGGAAATTCATGCTAACATAGGTATTGATCATATATCACTTTGATTTTCTTTGCAGGACTTTAAGCTCGACTTTGGCAATTTCCAAGGCAAAACAAGTGAGAGGTGGCATGGAGGTATAGCTACCATTTTTCAAAGTCCTGGCGATGAAGTGTGGGGAGTAGTATGGAAAATGAACAAAAGCAATTTAAGTTCTCTGGATGAGTAGGTGGCTTCTAATTATAAGTTCAAATAATACTTAAAGTGGGTTATATGGATGTGCATTTGTGGATACACTGTAGATACATTCTTTATGCTTCAGAGGCAGGACAATAGTTAGAAACTGCGAGTTTACTAATAAATATAGAACAGTCACACTTATTGATTGTGGATGGGGGGGCGATGTTTGTAATCTCTTAGGCAAAAAGATGGAAGCCCTTATTTTTTAATTCTGTTTGTCTTTTATTTAAAATTTTCACCTGGCGGTGGTGGCGCACGCCTTTAATCCCAGCACTCAGAAGGCAGAGCCAGGCGGATCTCTGTGAGTTCGAGGCCAGCCTGGTCTACAGAGTGAGATCCAGGACAGGCACCAAAACTACACAGAGAAACCCTGTCTCGAAAACAAACAACAACAACAAAAATCTTTCTAGTTTCATATTACAAAAAGTCGGCCAGGCGGTGGTGGCGCAGGCCTTTAATCCCAGCACTCGGGAGGCAGAGGCAGGCGGATCTCTTTGAGTTCGAGGCCAGCCTGGGCTACAAAGCGAGTTCCAGGAAAGGCGCAAAGCTACACAGAGAAACCCTGTCTCAAAAAACCAAAAAAAAAAAAAATAAAAAAATAATAGTAATAAAAAAACAAAAAGTCATGAAGCTTTTTATAATCATTACGTATTTTTATTGACTTTGAAAGTGAGTTGGTTCTGTTTTTTTTCATTCTTTGAGATTACAGTTGAATAATAATGATTTTAAAGGCATTGACTAATACAGCAGAACTAAAATTCTCAGAGTTGTGTGACAGAGTGCTTGATACAATGCAAACTGTCGGGGGAGAGCTGGCCTTGAAAAGAACAGACTGTCTGGCACTCTGTGCTTGGCCCCAGCTAGAGTAAGCAGTCCCTCCGCTTTCTGTCCGGGTATTCATTCGCTTGCTGTCAGATTACTGCTTCGGGGCACAGAGGTAAATCTAAGCATATTGAAGCATGTTTTCAGACAGTGAAAAATGCAGAGATCTGCTAGACGTGCACCAAATGCAGTTGTTCTTCTGCGTTCACCAGGCATTGCTTCAGCCTCCAGGCACACCAGAATCTACAGTCGTTAAGTCCCTTTTGTAAATCGACGTGATGCTTGCATGTGACCTACCCTTACCCGCCTGTATTGCTTTAGCATCTCTGGGTTCCGTCACTGCTTAATACGATATCAGTGTATTTTACCATAACGGATTTCCTTTTAAGGGAATAATGACCAGGAAAAAAAATCTGTATGTATTCAGTTAAGACCCGAGTTTTAAAAATATTTTCAGTCCGAAGTTGGGTGAATCTATGGATCCAGAAGTCAACTATAACATTAAAATGCTAAGCATGTCGCATATGGTGGCACACAGAAACAAGGCTGGGCACACTTTTAATCTCAGCACTCAGGAAACAGAAGCAGGTGAATCTTTGTGTGTTTGAAATCAGCCTGGTCTACATAGTGAGTTCCAGGCCAGATAGGACCACATAGTGTTAAAAAGAAAAAATGCTAAGTGTACATTTGACCTGGTGAACTAAGTGAGCAAGCATGCCTATATAGATATATCATTAACCTTAAACTTCACCTTGAGTAGAACATCTTATAAACCATTCTCCTACGTCCCCTGTGGCTAAAATGTGGTTCCTTTGGTTTCAGGCAAGAAGGAGTTAAAAGTGGAGTGTATGTTGTAATAGAAATTAAAGTTTCTACTCAGGAAGGGGAAGAAATAACCTGTCGAAGTTACCTGATGACGAACTATGAGAGTGCTCCCCCATCACCACAGTATAAGAAGGTGAGCTACTTGGACCATGCTGAATCTTTTTAATCTCACTGGGCTAAATTAGAGAGCATTTCCTCTTCAGAAAGCTTTTGAGAATTTAAAATTCCACGTGAACATTTTAATCAAAATGTTTTAAATAAGGAAAGTGTGTTTTAATAGATATATGATATCTATCATATATGTATAATACTCTATACATACACTTTTATCAATTTTTGTTCTTCAACGAACAGTATCTCATAGAACAGATTCATTTTTCCATGGAGGGGGAATGTATTTTCCGCTGCGGGAAGGTCACTAGGCCTTTTAGAGTCAGGGAATCCACCCTCCAAAGCACAGGACGCAAGTGGGGTGAGACCGGATGCCCCTTGGAAGTAACACAGGTGCTGAGCCTCTGGCGTGGTGTCCAGAGATCAGCCTGGTAAGGACCTGGGGGTCCCCCATCTCATCTAAGCAGAAGTAGACAGTGGTGCTGTCAGCTGCTGCCTAAAAGCTTGGCCTTTTTTTAAAGAATGTAATTTTTCTTAAAGCATCATGTAAATTTTATACCATAACAATGCATTTTGTCTTAATAATAAAACATTTGGAGTCATGCTGTTGAGTAGGACTGGTACTCTGACAGGGTTTCAAGGTGCTTTGAGAGCCCTTCTGCAGTCCACTCAGAATGCGGAGCAGCTGGCCATGCCTGGAGTGTGTTAGAATGTTCCAGTTCTTTAGTCAGCTACAGCCAGTGTCCTGGACCTTCGACAGTACAGACAAAGCATGCTGCTAACTGAAAGGCCTTCCTTGTTTTAACCATTTCCAGGTTATCTGCATGGGCGCGAAAGAAAACGGTTTGCCACTGGAGTATCAAGAGAAGTTAAAAGCAATAGAACCAAATGACTATAAAGGAAAGATCTCAGACGAAATGGAAGAAATCATCAAAAAGGGGGAGTCAAAACTGTATAGCTTGTAACAGGATCTGAGGATGTTTCTGTGTGCTAGTATGAAGTGTTTCTAGTGTCGGCGAGCAGGAATGTGGGACCTTCCTGTTTTTAACCTATTGATTTTCAACAGTGCTGTGAAGGACTTCTCACTTAGGCGATTCCGTATTTTCAACTGTAAAATAAAGAACTGGGATGGGGATAGGAATTAGACAATTAAAAGGGTCCAGGAGTCCCTGGAGTGTGTAAGTGGCGATGGCTGTGGGTTCTCCTGTGGACATGTTTCCATCCCGAGTCGCATGGAAGCGTGTCAGTGTGCTCTGTGGCACAGGGTAGGTCTGCTTTCTGCTCGTTTTTGATGAGCTTGTCAGAGTGAGCAAACTATAGAGAGCCGGCCATAGGATTTTGAGAAGTAGACGGAGGATACACTGTCCTTTGGAGTGAGTGCGTTTGTGGCTGTAAGGGGTTCCCAGCAAGTGCTCCACCTCACTCTGCTCAGCTCAGACTGCACAGAGCAGCCTCAGCCTCATAGAGTCGGCCTTAAGTGGTGGTGTGGATCTAGAGCCACGCTGGCCTTGAACCTGTGTCCCCCTTGCCTCCGCTTCTCCTGTAGTTGGGATTACAGTCCTATGCCGCTGAGCCTAGCTGAGCCTCACCACTGTCCGGTTGGGAGATTTGAGCTTCTTTGGTTCTCTGTACCTTAGCTGCCTCATCTGTAGGAGGAGGGATCATCGAAACGCCTGTATCTTAAGCTTATTTTGAAAGTTTCGTGAGTAAACATATGGCAAGTTTAGGACAGAGCCTGGCACTCAGTATTAGCAATCACCATCAAGTTTTGGGGTTTTGTTTTTTGAGACATAAGCTCACTCTGTAGTCCAGGATGGCCTTGCATTCAGGGTTGTCTTGCCTCTCAGCTTTCCTCGATCTAGAGTTACAGGTGTGTATGATCCTGTGTGGCAGGGGATTCGGGTTTTTTCTTTTTTAAAACCAGTTATTTGGGCCCTTTAACAAACAACACAACTCTTGAAAAACCAAGAAAGAAAGTACAATTAGGCCCTAGATTGCAGAAAAATAAGAGAAATCTTCAAAGTGTGCCAGCCCTTTTCCGGGGTGGGGGTGGGGGGGGGGGGAGATGAATTGTGAACTGAAAGAGCAAACACTGGGAAGAAATGGCCCCAATATCCTGGAATTAGACTAATAGCTGTGGAGCATTTCTGTAGAGTAGGATAAGAAACCAGAACTCTTAGGAAGGACTAACTTGGCTCCCCCTTGCTAGCCCGTTGTTCCCACGAGAGAAAGCAGAGACGATAGAAACTTAGAGCTGGGGAAATAGCTCGAGGGCAGTCCGGTCAGTATAGAAAAGCTTCATCTCAAAACGACACACAGAAAACCCACACCAATTTAAAATCGGGATGCATGGAGACTGGTTTCGGGAAGATTGAGTAGGTGTGCTTTTCTCTATTTCTCCAGTTGAGTGCAACTCAACTCTCTATGTATGATTTATGTGACAAACTGGGGCAGATGAAAGGGGAGATGGCAAAGACTTCAGTGGGGCCTCAAGACCCAGGGCCTCAGGGTGCTAAATTCTCAGAGTTTTCTTCTGACTCGTACAGCTCAGGCTTATAACTCAGGAAGACAGTACCCCTAAAAGTACCAGAGAGGATATGCTTGAACACACACAGCCTGCTCTAGTGATAGTACCAGGAAAGGGACAGCCTGGCTATGTAAAACATTTAGAGCTCAAACACACCAGTCAGGCCATAGAGAGACACTGTAGACTCCAGCTTCCACCATGCCAACAGAGGCCCAGAGGAGAGCCTGGATTTTCACATACCCCAAGCATAACAAGACAGACACCCTATAACCCCTTTCCCACCACCAATGTAGTGTCTTAAAGATTGGGAAGGACCTCCTGGCAGCAACACCTCCCCTCAGTGAGTCATCAGAATCACGGGGACTTAAACTCCCATCCATCACTGGTGGTTCCTCTTGCCCTCCTTCCATGCTAGAATGATTGCCGAGTGAACCAGCTGAAACAGGACTTAAATAGACCCAGAGCCGCATAAATGTCCAGTATACTCAGATTTCAATTGATGATCACATGCCAAGAGCCAGGAAAATCCCAGACTCTATGATAAACGATAACTATGGGTGCCAAGGTGAGGTAACGTGTGTTAAAAAACAGCCGTTGGTGGTGAGCTAGTTCAGTTGGTTAGTGTACAGAGCTCACAAGGGCAAGGTCATGAGTTTGATTCTGCCACAAGCTGGAGATAATATAGACCACGACACTTGTGACCATTTCCAATGACCAACGCAAAATGTACATCACCAAGCCAAGGTGCCTTATTCATCAGAATGCCTTCACTTAACCACAGTGACTGAGTAAACAGCCACCATTGAAATGTCACAGCGAGCAACGAGATCATGCTGGAAGCCAGTAAAAACATAGCCTCAGTAGAGCAGAGGATAGAAAGACCCAAATGGTGATGTTGGTATTTAAAAATATAGCTGAAATCTACAAAATCAGTGAGTGGGCTCACCAGCAGAATGATGGGGACAAAGGAAGGAGCAAACGAACTGGGTGATGGGACAGTAGCTGCCAGTGTGGGGTCGGGGAATATAACGAGTTGGAGGCAAGACCAAAAAGCCAAGAGGTTGTGGAGCCCTGTTAACTTCCAACAGAAGAGCTGACACGTTGCAGGAAGAGGGCAGGCTGCGGAGAGGCCAGCACGAAGGACAGAGAAGCTGACTGGGCCTCAAGCCCAAAGAAATACACACCCAAACCCTCCATAGTCAGTTTGGAAACTCAAAAATTCTTAAAATAGTGAGAAGTAACACTTTCAGAGAAAAAGCAGTGTTGGTAATTACTTCACCCATCGGAAGTGGTGGAGGCCAGAAGAAAGCACACGTCGTGAGGAGCTGGGCAACAAACCCAAACCAAGACACCCCAGAATCTCTAAGAATGAGGGCAAAGTAAGACAGAAAGAAAAGCATAAATAAATAAATAAAATTATTAGCCATCCTTCCCAAAATAATGAAGAAAATAAATAAGGAAGCTTTGAGCATCATAAAAATATAAGGGTCATGGTGAGAAAAACTAGGATAAATGCAATAGGCTTCCCTTCTCAGTCTCCTCATTATACTTGACAACAGAGCAAAAAGTTTTAACACTAACTGCCAAGGACCTAAAATACAGAGCATGGTTAAAAGAAGAGAAAGCAAAGAAGGTAAGTGTCCCGTATTTGTGTAAAACACACCAATAGGCAACCATAAAACAAATGCAGAAAGGATTTACTCAAAAGGAAAAATTATTTTAAAAAAGAAAACATCTCATCTCTGTTAGAAGACAAGTAGAAAGCTTGTGTGTGTGTGTGTGCGTGCGCGCGCTCGTGTGTATACCTATAATCCTAGTACTTGAAAGGCTGAGGCAGGAGGATCATGAATCAGCCAGCTTCAACTAAAAAGCAAAATTTAAATGGCAGAGTTAGTTTCAGCATTATCTATCATCATATTAAGTGGAAGTAGTCTCAGTATGTCATTGGAGCTACCGAAAAGTCTCTGTGGTTAAGAGTGCTCACTGCTCTTCAGAAGACCTGGATTTGGTTCCCAGCACCCACACAGTGACTCACAACCACCTCTAACTCCAGCTCCAGGGGATCCAACACCCTCTCCTAGCGTCCTTAGCACCAAGCATACATGTGGTGTAGATACATACAAGTAAGCAAACACTTGAACATCTAAAAATACATTTAAATATGAAAATTAAAGAAATAGGCAAAATGGATTTAAAACATAGGCCAGCCTCATGCTGTCTACAAGAAACTTCAACCGTAATGAGTGAAGCAGTTTGAAAGGAAGTGGTGGACAAAGACCTGGCATGCAGCCATGAGCCAAAGCAAACAAGAACCTTGTTAGTCCTAGACAAGTGTAGAGCAAAGGAAACAGAACAGTTGCTAATCTTACCTAACTCATTTTTATGAAACTATTAGCTCGGTACCCAAACCAACAAAGATAATACAAAGAAAAATAAACCCACAGGTGAATATTCTTAATGAGTGTGGATTAAAAAAAAATGCTTAAGCAAACAGGAGTTAATAGGATTCAGTCATACCTAAGAGTTGTGAGCCATGACAAAGTGTGGTTTATTCCAGAGATGTCATGATGGTGTGGTATTTGCAAATCTGTCAAGCTACTTACTCCAGTAACAAAAGAAAAGAGGGAAAAAAAACCCCACAAATCAACTGATGCAGGAAAAGCATTTGGCACAAGTCAACACCCATTCACAATCAAAACACTAAAAAAATATGCACCGGGAACTAAATTTGACAGAGTTTATAAAAATCATTGTTGGAAACATTATGCTGAATGCTTTCCCCCTAAAATTGGGAGCAAGATGGACATGTGCTCTTCCTACTCATTCAACACAGTTCAGTAAGGGGGGGAAAAAAAAAGTACAAATAATAAATTGGGCCGGTGAGAAGGCTCTGCAGGTGAGGACTTGCCAACAAGCCTGATGACCTAAGTTTGATCCCTAGGACCCACGTGGTAGAAGGAGAAAACTGACTCCTTCAGGTTTTTCTCTGACTTCTGCAAACACACACACACACACACACACACACACACTTTAGATCTAATAATTTGGAGAAAAAAAAAGTTGAACCATCCCTGTTTATACATGGTTGACATAATTGTCCATACAGAAAATACCACGGGAGATTTTTTTTTTTTTTTTTTTTTTTTTTTTTCCGTTTTTCGAGACAGGGTTTCTCTGTGCAGCTTTGCGCCTTTCCTGGAACTCACTTGGTAGCCCAGGCTGGCCTTGAACTCACAGAGATCCGCCTGCCTCTGCCTCCCGAGTGCTGGGATTAAAGGCGTGCGCCACCACCGCCCGGCCCACGGGAGATTTTTTAATCTCCACAATCAATGAAGTAAGTCCAGCTGGGTCAAGGTATACAGGGTGATGTACAAAAAGTCCATAGTATTCCTCTACACTAGAGATGAACTCATAGGCACTGAAAGTAAACATACAGCACTGCCTGGGGCTGTAGCTCAGGAGGGGACAGCTTACCTACCGGGTGTGTGCCCTGCGTTTGATCCCCAGTACAGCAAGTGTAAAAAACACCGGGCAGAGAGAGTTCAAGTGGTTAAGAGCACTGGCTGCTCTTCCAAAGAACTTGGGTTCTTTTACCCACATGGTGGCTCAGGATGTGATGTCCTCTACTGGCCTCCACAGGTACCAGGTATGCATGCAATATGCATATATACATGCAGGCAAAACACTCATGCACATTAAAAAGCAAATTTTAAAAAAGAACACCACTTCCAGATTTTTAGCTATATTTTTATAAAGTAGCCATTTTAAGTGGACAGTTGGCATTTTATACATTCAGCGTTATAACTGTCTCCAGTTTCGAAACATTTATGTCACCCCCGAGTGAAACCAGGTACAAAAGGTTGCTACCTGCTCTTCTCCCAGTCCTGTCAACCTCCAGTCTACTCTCCGTGTGTGTGGATTTAGTTATCATGTCTATTTCATATAAATGGGATCATTCAAGCTTCACCCTCACTGTAGCTGGCATCTGAATCTCGTCCCTTTTTATGAATGAATCCCGAAAGTTGTATGCATACATCATACTTTGTTTCATCCCATCATGGGCACTTGGACTGTTTTCACTTCCAACTATTATGAGTATTTCTTCCAAGAACATTTGTGTATATATTTCTGAGTACTATTTTTCAATTATTTTGGATAGGAGCAAAACGATGGATCATATGATTGATATATATAAGTAACCACCACAATTTCCCACTTGGGCTGAAACATTGTAATTCTGACCAGTCATGTGTACAATTTCTTTTTTTTAAAAAATGAAAATACTAGCTTTGCTTATACTCACTGCACTTGGGAGCCTGAGGAGGCAAGGTTGTAAGTTCAAGGCCTGCATGGACCACACGATGAGATTCTGTCTCAAAATAATAGCAAAAAAGAAACCAAAACCATGAAAATGCTTAAGTGTAAATGTTAGAAAACTAAGAGCTGAAATCAAAGTGGACGTAAGTAAATGGAAGACAAATGAGAATAGTCATATGTTGGAAGACCCAAAGGAAATATTCATGGGGAAGACCCATAGTAAAATTGTTGGTTTTCCCCAAACCCAGAACAGAATTAAAAAAACTCCTGTGTCAAAATTGTAACATGATTCATTTTTCTAAAACTGTCAAAGTGGAATAGTTAAAGCAATTTAAAAAGAGAGAGAATAAAATGAGACTTTGGTATAATTGCTAGTGAATGGACAGATATATAGAACAATGGAGCAGAACAGAGAACGCAGGGAAAGACCCAAAAGAATACACCCAACTGACTTCTGGCCAAGGCAGTTTAATGGGAGAACCTTTATAGCAAACGATGCTGAATCCGTGATTGGAAAACCTTATAAGGAGAGGGAGGATTTTAGAGACGAAGAGTAAATGTCTGCTGTGAACTGGCCAGCCATGGTGACACAGACTATAACCCCGGAGCTTGGGGAGGACCACAAGTATGAGGCCAGTCTGGGTTATATTACAAGACCCTGTTAAGGAAAACAAACAAACAAACAATAGAATCCCAAACCTGTAAAACCATTAGAAAAAAGATGTAACTGCCAATTTTTAAGATCTAGGAGTTGGCAGAGTTCAGATTTGACTCCAAAAGCATGATCCATCAAAGGGAAAGTGAGTAGGTTGGGCCTCGCAAAATGAAAGGGCAAGCTGGAGTTTGTGGAATGTAACTCGGTTGCTAACAGTCCTTGCCTGGCATGGCCTGGGTTTGGTCTATGGTGTCTGACCATGGTGGCATGTTTTCAATCCCAGCTCTTGGGAGGAGGACTAGATGTTTACGGTCATCTTTTGTAGTAGAATATTATTTTAAGATATGCTACTTTTGTTTATATTGCATTTCTTTAACTCTGTGAAACTGTGTTACTGTGCCTGTCTAAAACACTTGGTGGTCTAATGAAGAACTGGCCAATAGCAAGGCAGGAGAAAGGATAGGCAGGGCTGGCAGGCAGAGAGAATATATAGAGGGAGAAATCTGGGAGGACAGATAAATCTAGCAGCCAGAGAAGGAGGACTCCAGAGCCAGCCACCCAGCTACACAGCAAGCCACAGAGAAAGAGTAAGATTTACAGAAGAACCGGAAAAGCCCAGAGGCAAAAGGTAGATGGATAAGTTAAGGAAAGCTGGCAAGAAAGTAAGCCAAGCTAAGGCCGGGTATTCATAAGTAAGAATAAACCTCCGTATATGATTTATTTGGTAGGTAGGTGGCAGCCCCCCCCCCAAAATAGTAAAATACCAAAAACATCAATCTTTGACAATAGAATGGGTTTCATAGAAGTAATATGTGACATCCTGGAATATTTGAAACCCTGTCGGAGAGAGGGAAGGAAGCAGAGAAGGAAGAGGAAAAAGGAAAAGGCAAAGAATTGAAGAAAATGTTTACAAGCCACACATAGAAACTCTCACCGTACACCACTTAAAATGAACAAGAGACACAGAGACATGCTCTCCTCAAGAGAATACACAGATGGCAAGTAGGCACATGCAAGAAGTCCGGCATCATCAGCAAGCTAAAACCACAGCGATGTCTCACCAGGACAACGCAACCGGCCAAATGACCAAGATGAAACAGGACTCACCAGAGGCTGGTGAAGAGCTATGAAGAGTCACCTGTTCAAATCTTAGATGGTCTCTTAATAAAAAACCCAGAGCCAGTTATCAGGGTGAAAGCTGAAAGATCAGAAAGATCAGCCAGCCACTAGTTCTTACCTCTACAAAATCCTCAGTCTAAAGAGAGTTGAGTTCCTGTTTCCTCACGCGTAATATACCTTTCTCTGCCCAGACATCACTTCCTGGGATTAAAGGTGTGTGCCACCACTGCCTGGCCTCTATGTCTATTCTAGTGACTGGCTCTGTCCTCTGATCCTCAGGCAAGTTTATTGGGGTACACAAGATATCACCACAGTCACTTGGCAGGTTGATGGTGGAAACGTTAAATGCTTTAGCTATTGCAGAAGATAGCCCAGCAGGTTTTTGAGGTACTGACCTGCAGATGAAGACTTCAGCTTACACACAAGCTTGTATAAAAATGAGCAGAGTAGTTTCCTCATTGTAATCATAGGCTGAAAATTGCCCAGGTGTCTGTGAACAGGTGAGCAGTGTTTTGTTTTGTTTTGTTTTTAATCTACCAGGACTCATGTCTTGAAATACTGCTCAACAATAATAATAAAAGGGAAGTAACTATTGATACAAGCAACAGTCTATGTGAATCCTTTCAGGATTATACTAAATGAAAACAAAACAGGAGTGAAATACTATCCAGGGCTGAAATGGCTCAGTGGGTAAAGGTGCAGGCTACCAAGTTCGAGTTCAATCCACGCCCCAAGTCTACATGGTGGAAAGAGAAAACCAACTCCTGAAAGTTGTTCTGTGACCTCCTGTGATCTCCACGTGCACCATGGTACGTATGTACTCACACTCGTAAACACACACAAAGAAATGTAATCCAAAAGTTAAAATGTTATTCCAAAGTGCAACCTGATGCTCGATTCCATGTATTTAAGTCCTGAAAAATTATAGAAATGGAAACAGGTTTTCAGTTGCCAGAGGCTGAACAGAGCGTGGGATGATGTAAAGGGATGCTTCTGGTGGACTGTTCTGTGTCTTGACTGTATTAATGTCTATTTTCTGCTTGCCGTAGCTTTCGGTACCATAGCTCCACAGGGTTAGGGGGAAACTGGGTTAAGGGTGCATGGATCTGTGTATTATTTCTTCAAATTCTTTATTAATATACAATTTTCCCCAAATAAAAAGTACAAAATAACAAGCAAGGCACAGCTGTCTCAAAAAAAAAAAAAAATGTAAACGACAGAGTAAGCAAAGAGCAGAAAAGACCGAATATGAACAATGGGCGGGAGGTGCAACGTGCGTTTGGCCCTGAGTCGGTTTCCAGCCCTTGAAAACAGATCAGACTCTCAGAAGAAAAGTTAGTTGTCCCTTCCGCGTGGAGCACCGCAGCGCACCGTGGCAGGAGCTAGGAGAACCGCGGCCTTCAGTCCCCCCACCCCACCCCTCCACCCCCGTAGCGGCCCACCGAGCTCGCAAAGTTTCGGTTTTGCTTTTTCTCAAAGGGCAGGCTTCATGCGTGTTTTCATATCCATGACTGTATGTGGCCACATATCTGAAAGCACTTTTGATTAATTGTTAATAACGTCTGAAAATGTTTATGCAGAAAATGTATTATCATGTTAACAATTCCTTCACGTGGTTACGGTAAATGAAAAGGCTCTAAAATGCTCACGGTCAAGAGAAGACTTGACAGACGGGGAGAAAGCTTCGGTCTCTAAAAGAAGATCCAACTGAAGTTTGCTTAGTGGGCAGCTTCTTGCGAGGCACAGACTCCATTTAACAAGCCTTCCCGCCTGGGTCCGGGCATTGGTTGTGGTTACGGGCACTGGGTGGCACTTTTAGGGGGCGGGCCTTGGCTCTCGGCGGCCGCGGCAGAGCTGGCACGACGAGTTCCCAGTGTGTCACCCCTGGGCGAACTCCGGGGCCTGCCCACTACCGCTCGGCAGGGGCGGCTCTCCCAGCGCAGTGTGCGGCTGCTCTGGCCGGGGAGGAGTGACAGGGAGCAGCGCTCCGGCCCGTCCCCTCCTGGTCCTCCCGCTCCGCCCCGTTCTCTCCCGGGAGCCCACCCGAGAGCCCGGGCGCGGCGAGGCAGAGTGGCCTTAGTGCTCGCCAGTTCCCGTTCCCGGATCGCGAGCCGCAGTGCCTACCCTGCCCTCCAGCTGCTGCTGTCCCCCCAGATCCGCGACCCTAGTCCCCGGATCCCCTCACAGCGGGCCACCGAGCTCCCGGGACACCAGAGCCAAAGTTCTGTCAATTTGGTAAGTCGTGGGGGTTGGTGCGGGCAGGCTCTCTGGATCAGCTGGGGAAAGGTAAGGCTGCTGTCGAAATGCTGTGGCTGAAACCGGGAGGAAAAGCACCCCCCCACCCCCCACCCCCAGTTTCAGATGCAGTCTGAGTTCCGAGTCGTGCACTTCAGAGCCAGCGGCATCGAAAATCCCACTGTGATCTAAAGCCCGCATTCTCAGCCCGCCAGCCTGCAACTTAGAATCATCAAGTGTGGACCTCGCAGATCCAAATGACCAGACCATTCCACAGGCCAATTCTGTTGGAATCTCTAAGCTATTGCTTCGGAGCTGCCTGGATGATTCTAACGTGCACGTAGGGTTGGGAGCCAGAAACTAGACCAAAGGGTAGCCGCCAAAAGAAAGTGCCTGTCGTTTGGGACCTTCCTGAGTCCAGCCTGCAAACAGGCTGGCTGCTTCCAGGGACCTCCTACGGTCCTGAGGTCGAGGGAGGACTTCCCTTGAGTTTCATGGGATACAAAAGAAGGAAGCAAGATAATGCTTGCTTGGCAGGGTCGCCTTTAAGGGTGAAGCCAAAGGTATGCCTGCAGGATAGAGTCTGATTGCTTCCTTAAAAGCAAGCTTCCTGCTTTAGATTTTAAGAATACCTGGAGTGTTCAGGGTAACTTCCAGGAAGTCTGTTGGGGAGGAGAGTCCCCCTGTTCATACCTGGGAGTAGATGCCAGTGATTGTAATCCCGGAGCCGCTGGGAAATGGACAGGCATCCTCATATATGCTGGTCAGGGGAGAGGCAGAGATTTAAAAAACCCAGGACCTAGAAGTAAAAAAGGGCCCTTTCAAAGGCTGCAAGAGTAGGTTTTGTTTTTCTGGAATGGAGACCCAGTAAACCTGGTTCCGATCTCATATTGTGTCACATAGAGTGATGTGATCTGCAACAAGTTAAAAGTGAGCCCTGTGAGTCTCTCTTTTCTTAGTGATCAATCTGGACAGGGTGAAGCTAACAGCTGGATAAGGTGACATTATGGTGTCCATATCCGTTACTGGAAGTTAGAGTGGTGGTGATTTATGTGCCACAATGATCTGTTTTACTGTAGCCACTATGATGGAGTGTGCTTGTCCAGAAACTGTCTTCCTTAAAGCCTCACTCTGCTGCTCCTCTGCATCAAATATATTTTCAAACAGTTCCAGAAAGCGGGGCTGTCAGCAGGACTCAGCATTGATGCGGCACACATGGCTCTCTTGTGGCAACAGCCGGAGATATTGCACCCAAAGCTCTTGGTTTGCTCTTGACTGTTGGCCAGGGACTCTTTCATCAAGGACCAAGGATAGTCAGGAATCTGTACAAGAGAATTCCATATCCTGCCCTTACTGATGCATGCTTCCCATCTGAAACTGCCACCCAGCCACCCACTCTGTTGGGTCTGTCACTGCCAGAATAATAATAGGAGCACTATTTAGATAAGACATTCAAAATGTAAACTGTGAAGCCATGGAGGACAAGTGTCTGTAAGTGTGCGTGTGGTCACTGATATTTGCTTCAACAACAAAATACCAAGGCTGTGTCTTTTATTCAAAGGAAAGGTTCACTGCTGAAAATGGAAGGCATTTGATTTCCAGGATTTGAATTTTTAAAAGACAGTTTCTTCTATGTTTTTCCTTTGGAGGGTTTTGGGCAAGATAAAGTTAGGAGAGCTAATATGTACTTGCATGCCCATGTAGCAGCCCATCCTTAGATGTTTACAGGTTGTGAGTGTATCAGTGGAGGATCAGGGAGGGCAGGTGTTTCATCTAAACTTTACTCTAGTGAGAAGGAGTAGTTGCTGTCATTTCAATTAACTGATGGATTTCAGCCAGTGCTGGAATTCTGGCTAACACAAGACTTCCTGGCTTGGATGCTTACTTAAACTTGAATTTCATCTGAATTTGGCAGGCACCAAACTGTGGGCAGAGAGTCCTGTCAGTCACAGCAGGAGGCTCCACCCTCCCCATTTACTCTCCTGCCAACCCATGGAGAGCAGGCTGTCATCTGATGGGGCCCTATCCTGGGCTCTGATGGAACAGAGTCCCTAGTAAGAGATGCACTTCTTTATAGCCAGCAAGGCAATGAAGTGCCATGCTTCCTTAAAACCAACAGGGTACTCCGTAAACTCACTTTAGGATTTGTTTTTGCTGACAAGTCATTTTCCTCTGAATTACAGAAAAAAATGTATATATATTTGTTTTTTTGAGACAGAGTTTCTCTGTGTAACCTTGACTGTCCTGAATCTCTCTCTGTAGACCAGGCTGGCCTTGAACCCACAGAGATTCTGCCTCTACCTCCTGAGTGCTGGGATTAAAGGCATGCGCCATCACCACCCAGCCAGAAAGCTATCTTTTAAAGGGGTAATAAATGGTTGAAGACAAAGACCCAGGAAATGCCCAGTGAGCACCCGATTAGCACTAGGTCTTAGTACTGTCATGATCATTACTACTGCTGTGTTGGGGACTGAACCTAACACTTTGAAAATTCTAGGCAAGAGCTCTGCCTTTGCACTGTAACTCCACCCTCTTCTTACTTTTAAAATCTTGAGTCAGGGTCTCACTCAACTACCCAGGCTGTCCTTAAACTCTGTCTGTAGCCCAGCGAGACTTGGGCCCCACCACGTTAACCTCCTGAGTAGCTAGAGTTACAGGCCTGCATCCTGCTATATTTGTTTAGAATGGAGATGTCCCGTGCTCTTCTGTTGTATGGTCCCCACCACATAGGTTAGGGTTGGAAGATGGGGGTGGGGGGTGGGGTGGGGGGGTGGGGGTTAGGGTAGTAGTTAACGACTCTGTGGATGCTTTCACAGCTATGTGCCACTATGTAAGACATATTAATGAAGAAACTTCTTCGGAGAGCTTTAAGAAGGTTAAATTTTCCTTGGGGAATAGGTGTGTTATTTCTAATTCCCAGAAGATTAAAAATGCAATGGCCAAGAACTTCTGTGCTTCATGTTAACAAAATGCCATTTTTTCCCCTATGACCCACAGAGCAAACTTTCTGGAAGGAAGCAGGTAGGAGGCTAGGCTTTCCCTTGGGGACAGGCAGTCTCTGTATACTACAGGACAACAGACCCTCCCTTGAGAGGGCATCCCTGGCTCTATTTAACAGTGGAGTTTTAAATTTTATTTTATTGTTATTATTATTTTGTGGCAGGGTCTCACTTAGTAGCCTTGGCTGTCCTGAAACTCACTATGTAGACCAGGTTAGCCTCAAACTCATGAATCCTCCTCTTTCCTTTGCCTCTAGAGTGCTGGGATTGAAAGCAGGCATTACCGTGCCTGCTACAATTTAAAAAGATTTAAAAAACATGCAACCAGGCTTGCTTCCTGAGGCTTCAAGTGCAGGATCTTGACCTCTGTAAAGCAGATAGCAGATGGATGTGGAAGAAACTCACCATTGCTTTATCCTTAACTAAAGGTGGTGTCTTCATTTGTAAAATAGGACTTCCTTTCCAAACAGGGTGTTTTGAGCTAATGATGAGCTAATCTGCGAAGCACCCTCCACCTCAGCTTGCTTGCAGTAAGTGGTGATTACTGTGGTGATGGTAATAATGATGGCAACTGTGGTTCCAGGGCTGGTTTTACCATCTCCTCGTGTGTGTGACCTTGGACCAGGCTCTGGCGTCTGTAAAATCGGGGTCAATGCTCATCTGGATGAACTGGGTTGACACTAGGTTTGGTGAAATAAAGTGATGATACAACAGATTTCAGATAAGGAGGAACAGGTCCACAGACTTGCTGTGTGACACATTGGGCTAAAGGATGCACGATGTGTTTTTTTGTTTTGTTTTGTTTTTTTTTGCTTTGTTTTCCCCCCACGTTGTCTTCCCAACAACCTCCAAGCCCTTAGTTGTATCTCCCATCTTCCAGGTGGGGTAGCTGAAGTCCCATGAGGGTAAAGAACTAACTCCAAGTCAACAGTGTTCCACTCAGGAGTTGAAGCCAGCCCAGCAAGCCTAGGCTCTTACTTTCTGCCTGGATGTTCAGTGGGACCCCGCCCTCCCTCCTGGCCCCACCCACCTCTCCAGGTTCCTACCTGTAATTAAGGGCAGGTGTGTGCATGTTTCCTGCAGAGCGGTGTTTCTGCCAGTTTAAGGAGTGGAAATAGGAGCTTCCTCTTGTGCCCCTCAGATGACTTAAACCCCGACCACTGCTTGGACTGTAACTGAAAGAAAGCACACACACATAGAAAACCCAAAAGCCTTGTTACTGGTATAGACTTAACTTTATTAGAGTGTATTATAATGTTTATTTTGTGATAGTCTCCCACTGAATGCAGCAAAGTATGCCTTTATGGCAGGCAGGTGTGTGGGTGTGTGGGTGTGTGGGTGAGGAGCACAGAAACCCTACCAGGATGGGACTCAGGTAAAAGTGACAGAGTTTAAATAGTTCTAAGTACACTCCAGCTTTTAAATTTGTATTCATCTTCCTTATCCTTCGCACCCCAATGGCTTGTTTCTCTTCTTGATATCTGGCAACCTTCCCAGAGGTTTGTGTGGAGGTAGGGTGGGGGACGGAAGAGTGAACGTCAAGAGTAAGTGGTAGGTGCTTTAGCACGTCCAATAATGAAGTGGCCATTTCCAGGGATGTGAAGTACTTTGCTGGCCCCTTAGCCGGGGAGGAAGACTAGCATAAAACTGTCACTCCTGGTTCTTCCTTGCTCTTTGGAGTTTCAGTTCTTCAACACGTTAATTCAACACCTATTATCAGAAGGTCTCACAGGGAGCAGGGGTGTATTAATACTTGGGGACTGTGGGTGTAATGCAATGATAGAGGGTGTGTCCAGAGTTCCCAAGGTCCTAGGTTCAAGCCCCAGCACTATTGAAAACATAAGGTTCAAGTATGTTTTTAGCTGGGTTTGGCAGTGCTTGCTTGGAATCCCAACACTTTGGGGCCAGTCCAGACTCTGTAGAGTGCGTGGGCTAATGGAGTATCCAAGCTAGTGGTGGACATCCTTATAAGAAGCTTTCTTAGAGTCTGTGTTCTAAACA